GTGTGTTGTGTGCGGCACTCACCACACGACTCACACAGACAGACAGATATACAGACGGGGGGATGGGCTCTTTTTCGTCTCTCTCCTCCTCTCTCTCTCTTTCTATATGTGTGTGGATTGTACAGTCTGGAGAGGACAGAAGGGGCGGTCGTCCTTTTTCTCGGCCCCCTTCGAGGACTCTCTCTCTCTCTCTGTCTACGTGTGTGCGTGTGTGAGGGAGCGGTGGGCTGACTGACTGACTGGCGGACCGGTGGACGTTTGTCAAAGTGAATGTGTATACTACCCATGGCAGCTGAACGAGCTGTGTGTAATGACATTACACCCACACACCGAAATAACGTCATGCCGCCCCATGTGAGTGCACTGCAGCACAGCCATCCCATCAACACGTCGAATTCACCGAGAGTTCGCGAAGAAAGTCAGCAGGTCAAGTATACACACGACCGACATGACATCATGATCATCAATCAACTGACGGACAGTCCCCCCGGCCCACCGATCGACGTCTGCCTGCCCACACCCCATCGACAAAGCAGCGCCTCACCTCACCCAGCCCCCGCTCTCATCCATCCATCCATCCAGCTAGGGCCATGCCCTCTTCTCCTCTCTCCAGTGCACACACACAGGCCTGCACCCATGTGTGCTGCCCCATCAGAGCCTCCTCATCTGTCTGTCTGTCTGTCTGTCTGGCCTCCTCGTCGCGACGGAGGTTCCCGGCCGATCGAATGTGTCCGTATACGCGAGAGGCAAAGCTTTTTATGTGCAGTCAGTGTCACTCACCACAACACACCACGACAACAAGCCCATTGGCAGCCGATGCGGCCGGCATGCACCACTGCCCTGCGTCTCTCTCCATGAGAAGGATGAATGTATGTATGTCCGTGTCGGGCCTGCCAGGCATCCCATTCACCGTTGTTTGTGTCAGTCACCCACCTCCCACTTGATAAAGCAATCTTGAATGAATGAATGGCCCAGCCCAGCCAGGCCAGGCACTCCATAGATAGATAGATACGATAAAGACATACATACACTCGTATGTGCCCATGCAACGCCAGCGCACCTTATGTAGAAAGCAACACGACACACAAAGACAGACAGACACACCAAATCGCACCTACGGCTAGCTACACGGATCTATCTATCTGTCTGTCTGTCTCTGCCTCCCTCAGCGTAGCGTGCAGACGGCTCCCTCCCCATGCGATGCGATGCGATGCGATGCGTGCAGCCCACGAGTCCATCCATCATACAGTGTGGGTATTGTGCTGCTGCTGCTGGTCAGATAGGTGGCCTGTGAGTGCGGCGAGTGCCTGGGCCAGCTGGGAATCACTCTGGTGCAGCTCAGACAGGCGGTTTAGCACCTGCTGCACCAGCGACACCTGCTGCAGGCTGCCGTACAGGAACAGATGTGTCAGAGAGCCCACCGCCTTGTCGCCCAGCTGACGTTTCACACAGGGCCTACCATACATACACGACACAAACCGACACACATCAGCCCTCATACCTCCCAATTCACTCCGCCCGCTGCCTCATTCTGCCGTGAGGGAGTGAGTGAGTGATGCGATTCACCTTCTCATTATCCGCCAGAACTTGTCAACGGTATCCCGATCGACAACGACACCCCCCGCCGTGTGGTGCACCTGTGCATCTGTGGAAGCAGCCCTCGTGCTCACACTCGAGGTGGGAGGCTCCTCAGCTGCTGGCTGAGGGGCTTGCTGGCTGCCACCTGCAGCACAACCTCTGTTGACGATGGCTTGGCAGCTGGGGGGCTCCACAAGATCGCCGCCCGCCCCCTGCTGCTGCTGCTGCTGCGGCCGACTGCTGTCGACACGGTGATTGTTGTCGCTATCCGTTGTGGTCTTGGCGGCGTCTTGGTGCTGTCTGTATGTGGGGGTGTTGGCAAGGGGTGTGGCTTGGCATGGGTCATAGTGGTGGCTGCCGCGGATGATATTGACGGCGTCTTGCCGCATGGCCTGGTCTATGTGCCACCCTGGGTAGTCGAGAGTGCTGTTGGCGAAGGGGTTATCGATTTGCTGGCACACTATCAACAGACCGTTGAACAAACTGAGGGAGGGACGACACACACGACACGACACGCCAGGAGGCAGGCACGTGTGTGTGCAGAAGAGCGGCATCGTATCGTTGGTGTGTCGTTAATTATGGCTTACACAGGTATGATCAGAATTGTCAGGAGGTACACGGTGAGGGGCACCTGGCGACCAACACCCACGCAAGTATGCACGCCATGCATCCATACTGAGTGTGTGCCCACCAGTTGTGTGGAGTCGCCCCCGGTGCCGTCGGGGTGCTGCACGAAGCTGATGAAGATGAGCGGCCCAATGGCCACGGCCACAACGATATTGTTGACCTTGACGAGTAAGGACACCATGTGCACATACGTCATCGGCAGCTGTGTACCAAGCTGCCCCAAAATAAAGGCAGCACCGTCCTGAAATACATATGTACCGACAGACAGACAGACAGACAGACATGAACACACACACCGCAATCAATGCAATGCTCCTTCCGCCGCGCCTTTCCTTTCTGTCCGTTCCGCTTGGCTTGTCGCCTCACTGACTGACTGACCTGTGCGATGCTCGCCCTTTGAGTCATGAGTGTGTACATGTGGTCCGAGGGTATGACGCCATCGAGATAGAGCCTGTGGAGTATGCGGTGGATCCACACCCAGGGGATCTCCTCGCGGGTTCGCCGCATGCTCAGCAACACACCGGCCTCCTCGTCCGTCGCCAAACCACGCAGAAACAACATCTGCACAGACAGACAGATACACACCAATGCGATGCGATGCCTCCCTCCCTTGTCGTCCTGTGTCCTGTGCTGGGCTGTGGTGTGCTGTGCTGTGGTGGTCTCTGTCTGACATACGCACGCACATTGACAAATTCTCGCTGTTCCTTGGCAGTGGATAGCTGTGATGCGTATATGAGGGCCAGTGACAGCCGGCCGTAGCGGTAGATGCGGTGGATGATCTTCTCGGCCGTGCGATCGTACTGGTCGCCATAGAAGGTGGTGAGGGTGGATACGAGGAAGGTGACGCCGCGCTGCAGCTTGTCAAGCCCTTCCTTGTACAGGCGCCACCACCTCTCCACCACCAGCGACACAAACAGACCCAACACAAAGGTGACAAGACCCATGATGCTCGTAGCGAACTCATACAGCTTCCGATTGGCCAAATCCAATGTCTGCATCGCACAGACACACAGCAAGGAAGGGCAGATCATCTGTCCACAGACGGACAGATGCGTTGCATTGCACCT